ATGCCTCAGCTAAGCTGTGTATAAGGGGTACCATATCGAAGGGACATCTTGAAGGGAGAAAAAAAAGATAGGTTATTTAACAACTTGTTGTAGAATTTTGTGATAGATAGATTAACCAAGTAAGCCAGACTAGCAATAGTAAAAGGCAGAGCTTCTTTCCAAAAGTTAAATAACATCTGAACAGTGATGACTTGGCTCAGAATATATTGCTATGGTGACTACAACCATAGGTTTAATTTCACTATAGTCTACTGAGTTGTACTCTAATCCATGACTTATGATTGTGCTCCCAAGCAGTGCACTAAGAGAGTGCTCAGTGGATATGCACAGGGCTGTTGAATATTTGTTGTTTCTTATGAAGGAAAACTGAGCGGCGACAGCCCTCAGCTACACCACTGTGCCCAGAGCAGAAATGTTAAGACAGCATGATCCCGCTATTTGTAGCAGTCCTAATCAGGACTGGCCTGTAATCTTACAAACACACTGTGGGTTACTGGCTCGGCAGATGGAGGACCATGTCTTATCTGTGCATCCACATAATGGTGAGTTCAGAGCTCAGAGCCTTTTCTTTTGTTTTTAATTACATCTGTGTGAAGACTTCTTTTGCTGTCCTAGCGTGGGAGTTAGGAAGATGCAGACTGGTAATTCCCCATTCCTTTTTCTGAAAGCTCTGTAAATCACACTCTGAAAAAAGCGACAAGCTGAATTCCAAGCCTCTCTGCGGAGACGTGCCCAGGACTGGTGGGGTCTGGACTCTGTCCACCGAATGTGCAGATCTCTTCTGCACAAACATTGTCCTCTCCCAAGGGAGCCCATGCTGAGTCCTAGCTGTGGAGACTCACATGTCCCCTCTTTCCCAATGGCAGAACTGTCAGGGAGAGGGCGAGGGAATGACAAAGCAGGGCTGAGCCGAAGTGAGCTCCTTTTCTCAGGAGCAGGAGGAGGGGATGCCACTCTTCTAGCAGGAAAACCAGAAGGAATCAAGGGACGGGGCTGAAAAATGATTTCCTGAAGAGAGCTGGGGACACAGAATCCGTTCGCATCTGCCCCTTCCCCTCCTCCAGTCCTCTTCCCCCTCACCCTACTTCTTAGCATTTCTTCTGTAAGAGAGAAGTCCTCAGGTCCAGTGGAAAACTGATTAGAGGAACAGAGATGCCCTGTGTCTCATGTGCTCACGCCTTCTGTCTCTACCGCTATCATTATCTCTCCTCAGAGTAGTGCTTTTACATTTTACATCACCTTCCATCAGTGACACACAAAGTCCACATTTTGCAGTAGTATTTACCTAAAATGTCCATCTTGTGCTTTGGGATCAACATATAAAATACCCACTATTAAGTATCATTCGTAAAAGCTCCCCCCCCACAAAAAATCTTGTGTACCAGTTTTCCCTCACCCTAACTCCTAGAAACCACATTTAAAGTGTCCCCTGTCTGATATTGTCTCTTACCTTTGACTGGTGCTACAGGAATGGCCTGGCAGGAGCTAAGTTGCACTGCACGAGGCAAAGCTAACTAGGAAGTGGGGAGAGGTGGGATGGGACATGGCCCGAGAAGACTTGAGGCACATGGCCTCACAGTTTCTGGATTTACTCAAGAACACCAGCAGAAACAGAAAAGAATTTGCTAACAGGATTCTTTCCTGAAATATACTAAGCTCAGTTTGAAGGAACTGGAAGAGAAAATACTTACTTTTCTGGGGGACAAAGTAAAGTGCAGCTCACTAATCTTCCAATCTTTTAACAAACTCTGCTGGAGATGTAACCACAGTGTAAAATCCACAAGCTTTTATTGACAATGTTATTTGTCAGTTTCACCGCTTTCTGACACAGCAGCCGATATGATCCTCAGGTCTAGCTCCGTTGCCCATCTTAGCGGTCAGCCAGAAGTGTCTTTCAGATCATGCCCTGGTCTGGTCTGATAAATTCTTTCCAGGGGAGACTAGGACACATTCCCTCAGCTGCCAAGTTTCCTACTTATAAGGTGCAGAGGAAAGAGGAAAAGAAAAGCTGGCCACCCTTTTAAGTTTTTTTTTTTTAATGTATGATTTCTTTATTAGAGCTCGATGTTTCCATAAAGGCAGTTTCCTAGCTCACTTGGGCCTTTGTGTTATGTCCATGGAACTTGTTTTAGCGTCTTAAAGGCTTCTGTGAGCTCTGGGGCCATCAGTTATCAATGGAGGACTTTTGTGCGATGCTTTTAAAGAAAGCCTAGCTTATGGAGAATAAATCTATGAAGGTTTGTGTCTTTAATGTCTACATGGACATGGTGTAGGAAGTGACACAGTAGTGTGATAAGATATCCAGGTTGTCCAACCCTGGAACCGAGGCATGTCTAGCCTTCCAACACCCCTCTGTCTCTGGCTTGCCTCCTTCTCTATTCCTCTCCAGACTCAAAACAAAGGCAGAATTTGCCTCGGGCCATGACAAGGACCCTGAGTCGGCACTATGGGAAATAACGTGGCACAGTAAGAGGAAATAGAATTTAAAGCTAGAAAACCCTGGCAGTCCCAGCTACCATGGCTTCTCTGACCTTGGACATTGACTTATTCCTAGAACTTCGGTTCTTCTATTTTTTTTTCAGAAAAATTAATACAGTCATATTTACCTTGGTAGGCTTTCTTTAGACCAGTTTTGTTAAACGACAATTATCTTCTATGTCTATTTTCCATTTCTTATTATACTGCACAGGGACTTGGTCATTTTGGTTTGCCACAGAGATCGACTGCCAGGAAGTATCAATAAGCAAACAGGACAAGATAAAGATGAGTGAATGAAATTTGAATGAAGGAAGGAAAGAAGGAAAAAGGCGGAGTGGCATATTACTGAAACACAAATAAGCACCCTACACCTGTGACTTGGGTAAGATCATCTGCATCACTGAAAACGGTACTTGAAGCGATGTGTCAGTGTGACCATGGCATCCTGGTTAAAGCTCACCAGTGATTTTCCTTACTGCTAGGATAAACGTTCAAAAGCATTGATAATCTGACACCTGCCTACTTTGTGTCTGTCAAGTCTCCCCCTTCCTTCCATGTCTCAGGCACATGTGATCTTGTGTTTCTGCAGACATACCAATTTAGTTCCTACCGTGAAATGTTTATGTTAGCCTCTGTTCTGCATAGAAAGTGAGGTGGAGGACACCAGGAGAACATGGTTCACCGAATCAACTAAGCAGGGCTCATACATACTCACAAGGACTAAAGAGACAAGCATGGGAACTGCATGGGTCTGCACCAGGTCCTCTACATATATTTATGGCTGTTAGCTTGGTGTTTTTGCATGATAGTACAGGTGTATCTCTGACTCTCTTTTTTCTGCACTTGGGACTCTTATCCTCCTATTGGGGTGCCTTGCCCAGCCCACATGTGAGAGCTTTTGGCTTGTTTTATTGTATCTTAATTCGTTATGTTTTGCCATTGTCTCTTGGAGGCCTGTTCTCTTCTGAAGGGGAAACAGGAAGGCATTGAATTTGGGGGAGAGGGAAGGTTGGGAATCTGAGAAGAGTGGAAGGAGGGGAAACTGTGTTCAGGTTGTGTTGTATGTGAGAAAAATCTATTTTCAACTTAAGATAAAAGAACATTAAAACAATAAAGAAATAAAATTTCTTCTTCCCCTTTTTTGAAAAACAAAACGAAAGGAAGAAAGTCGTGTGAAGTCTGCAGATTTGGCTTCTTACCACCAGTTGTCTCTTCACTTCTATGTCCTATGCTCAGAAAAGCCTGTCCTATACATCCATCTAGGAGCCTTCATCATATTCTATTATCTATTTATTTATTGCTGCTTCCTTCCCAACTCATGCTGTTCAAAAATATTTAATAATATTTATTCCAAATAGAAGATATACTCTATGTTTGCTTAATGTTTATGCCTTGACTATTGTTTTCTAATTCTTTTGGCTTATTTATACAGATATATGAAAAGAAAACAAATATCCATGGTTCTAAATGGAAAACTCTCTCCCAAATCCTTCCTACCTCAGTCTCACATACATATTTTGAGGATTATTCTTGTTATATGAATAACAACAACTGTGCCAACTGGTTTCAGTTTTGAGACTTGGGAGCGATATTCCTGTGGGCCCCACTATTCCTTGTTCTGGACTGGAAGGCCTCTTGACTTGGGGTTTGGAAGGTAGAAGCAGTGGGGTAGAAACAGATAAAGGGTAGCAATTGGCAGCAATTGTTCCAGGCTGGCTTTATTCTCAGGACCCTCAAGGCAATAGTAATTTAAGGCACAGGATTCCCTTTCTCTGTCTCACCCTCAGTGACCTTATCAAATAAAGCAGATAAAGCATCTGTAAAGGCAACCACAGGTGTGGGGAGAGGAGTCTGACCTTCCTTCAGGACCATGTGATGCTATGATAGCTTATGTTACCCATGTAAAAGAATCATCTGTGTGATATTTCTGAAAACAAAACAAACAAAACACAGCTTTTCTGGGCTAACTAAGATTTCTCTGATGATTATGTAGCAGGTCACTCAGAACTGTACCTTGCGGCAAATCTCATCATCACTTAGGGGTCAACATCTAACTCCAAGTGCACTTTAGCCTTAAGAGATGGGCTCCTATTGTATCTGATCTTAGAACACCCCCATCTGCTTTCAACATGCTGCATCTGACGTTAACTAATGTCTCCTATTAGCATTAAAAGAAAACAATCTGGAAAAATCCACTCTCAAGCAGAGTTCAAACAGGCCACAAGGAGATGTGGAATCTCAACTGTACAAAGTTTGCTAAAGTAATAGTAATGAATTTATACATTATACACAAATAAATGTGTGTGTGTCTGTATGTCTGTGTAGGTGTGTGTGTGGTGAGGGTAGTGAAGCCAAAGCCCATGAAATGGTTCATGAAATCAAAGACAAGAATGCTCTGTCTGATTTATGAAAGAGACCGCCAATAACAGAAGAAGAAAAATCCTCCTGGTGTGGAAAAAGGCATGATCAAAAGAACCAAATGATATGGAAACGGGTTGGGAATCTTTCTCCAGCTTACTTACTGGCAATGGGTTAAAATTCTGATCCACCAGATGGTTATATCCATGGTCAAAAAATGAGTGTCGTATCACAACATCAATACCTTGATTGGCCAGCATTCCTAAAGTGTTTAGCCATCTAAAAAGCAAAAGAAAAAAAGCCACATCAGCATATTTAAAATGGCATTTTACAAGAACTGAATATATCTACAACTCACAAATAAACACTACCCCCTCCCCCAGGCACCACCATCTTTATTTGATGCTTAAAAGGGAAAATTTTAGGTGCTGGACATGAAGTTGTAAGAGATTGCAAAGATTTTCAAATCTAATCTCTTTATTTTACAGGAAAAGAAACTGAAGTCTGAGGGAATAAAATGAATTGTTCATGGTCATAAAGTTATCACAGCTTATGACACATTTTACTTCTGGAGTACTAACAAATGAATGCCATAACCACTCATAAGCCTAATGTGTCGTCCCTGGCCTCAAACATGCAACCACAGGATTTCATGGTGCAACCTGCATCCTCGGTCTCCTCAGTCTGTAACAGGATTCCAACTACATAAGCCAACAGCCTTGCCATTTGGTTCCCTCATGCATCACTGTCCCAGTCAATGTAACTGTGTTTTTCTCAACACAACACTAAACGATCCAGAGATTACCTGAACTACCTGTTACCTCCTCATATGTGATGCCTACATTGACCACACACTGATCCTTGACTATGCTGAGTTCACACCACATACAAAAGCCTGCTTTCTAGGTTCTTCCCGAACTCCCTGCTGACTCTGCTTTGTTGCAGACACATTTAATTCATTCACCAGTTTGTTTCTCTCTCTATTGCCATTGCTGAAATCTCGCCTCATATTTGCTCTTACCTCAAACTTCATTCTCTACAGGTCTAAGTTGCACAAACCACTTTTGAGTAGTCAAGAGAGCACGCTCCTTTGTAATAACCCAGATCTTCACACGTTTTTAACTCCCGCTTAGCATTTCCTACCTACCCTCCTCTAAATCATTTCTTTTCGTTTGCCAAATTCTTTACCATATTAAGCAAGTGCTCTTTTCTAAAAGCTGGCATCCAAGTCAGAAAATTCACCTTCTGCCTTCACAGTGCTCTTTATTTGTGCCCTCAGCCAGCTTGGCGGAAGGTGAGCAGTCACCTACCTCTCTACTGTTCCCCACTAGTTACAGGTCCTCAGTCATGCAACATTTGAACTTAGACTCAGAACACCCGACACAGTTCCTGGCATGTTGTAGGTACACAGCAGTGTTTAGGTTGACATTTATCTGGATAAAATTAGATTCTAGGAACTTTGGAAATCACTATTCAGCACATGGGAAAAATTACACATAGTTATGATTTCCCAAATTTGAAACCATATGGAGCTCTAAACCCATGACTTCTAGAATTAAGTTTTATCCTTACTGGAATAAAGATCATTTCTAATTCTTATATTATGAATAAATAATGCTTACATTTTTAAATTTTTTTTACATTTACAATTTTATTTTATTCTTATAAAAATGAACACATTTACTGACAATTAGAGTTACAAAACCAAATCCCAAAGCAAAGCAAAACACAAAAACAAAAGTTTTAAATAGAGAAAAGTCTGTGTACAACACAGCAGAATCTTGTGTTAGTTTTGTCACACTGGGACACTGTGACCCAGAGCACTGAAACGACTTTGGAAATATCACATGGCAAAACTACTTGCCTTTATTATTGTCATTAGTTTTGTAAGCCTGTGAACCAGGATAATAAGTTCAGCTCTTGCTCTGCTCCTGAGGCACTGTAGCAAATGGGTTAGCAAAGGATGCCCTGTGCTGGACGCAACACGGCCTCTGGGTGAAAGTCACCTAAGTCAGAACTCTCACCATGTTCAGAAAGTACAAATGTCATGGTCTGTTTTGTTTTATTTATTAATATTTATCCATGAAAGCAAATATGGAGTTTCCTCGCCGAGAAGATATAAAATCCGAGGAAATGCATATCACATTTTGCATGAGCTCCTCCATCAGCACCATCTGCACAGCAACACAGGACAGTCTCTTGGTGTTTTGTGTATGTATATTGCTCACTTACTCAATAACTATTCTCCCATTTCCTAAGTGTTTATTGAATACCTACTAAATACTATTGCATGCTGCTAGATGCTGGAGACATGGCAGCCTATCAAGATGAATTCACAGTATTCCAAAGAATTTGAAGACTGTCAGGGTAGCACTATCCTTGAGTCTCCATTAGCAGAGAATTCTGATCCATGCATACATTTGCATATGCCCTACGAAGCCTCACAGTTATGTGATATATTGGAAAAGTCCTGGGAAAATGCCACCTTTCCACATGCTTACTGGCTTCCTAAGGCTTCTTTGAATGCTCTGCCCCTATCATATTTCTAGGAAAAACTATCCCTTCATGAACACAGCACATTGCTGTGTGCTGCCTGTAGAGCTAAGATGGGATGGATGACAAGAGAGGAAGAGAGAAGACCAGGAGCAGAATGAACTAGGTTTGTCTGATCTCTGTGAAGTAGCACTGATAATTTGAACTACAGTCCAAATGTCAAAAACTGTGTTCATTGCAAAGTCCATGTAGAGCTCTCTGGCTATCTGGCTGATGCTCATGCAAAGGGAGGTCTCTGTTCAGCTGCCTCCATCAAGGTCTGCAGTACTTTTCATTTCACACCATTCCTTAAAGGGAAGAGAATTCAGGAAAACATTCAATACAATTGGGCTGCTTGCTGGACCTCACAGCAGAATCATTTGGCAACAGCTAAGGAAAAGCCATTCCCTAGCTGATTCCAGGGGGACCCCATAGTACTGGCTGCCAACCTGGCTTCTCCCCCTTGCAACAGGATTCATATCAAACTAGTGGGGAGTAAATTATAAGAGAAGGCTCTTAGCAGTACTGCATTAAATGCTGATTCACTCCATCATTCATTTCAGCCATGTTTATTGGATGTCTCTGTGAAACACAATGTTAGATGCTGAGATTATAAACATGGAAGACCCAGAGTAACACCATGAATTACACTGAGCAGTTATCTCTGTGAATGTTTGACGTGATTCCATCTGAAAATGCCAGCTGCTTGGCCGTCCTGATCCGTTCTTCACAAATGTGTTAGTGAAGCTGTTTCGATGGAAGGGAACGTCATCTGTCTAATTAGGGACAGCTGTTAGTAGCAAAACACACAGCTGAGGGCAAAGCTACAGTTCATGCTTTGCTCAGCCAGAAAGCCAGGCCCAAAGGACTACAATGAACCAGGAAAAAAATAACTTGGTTAGTCTCTAGTTGTGAGAGGCTTGTGCTGGCTACATGGCACTGGAAAGCCAAGCAGAGCTGTATGCTTCTGGCTCAAGTCATCTCCAGGCAACTACAGTAGCCTTCAAGTTCATTTTCTCATCCTTTCCAAGATCCTGCACACAACACTGACAAGCTCTTACTTTAAAAATGCTTGTCAGATTATCTCTCTCTCCTTTGAAATCCTCAGTGGCTTGGTATGAGCCCAGAACAAGGCCTCATTTCCTTTACATGGTTTTCAACCCCCTCCATGAACTGGTGTGAACTCTCTTCATGGTCTCAGCCTTCAGTCCACCCCTGCGGAAACAAGGCTTTCCTCACAGCAGGCACTGCTCCTCTGCGACTGCCTTTCTGGTAACATTTCTTCAGCCTGAGGTACCAGAACACTCTTTCCATGTCCCACACAAGTGCCACTTTCCCCTGAGACCTTTCCTGACAACTCTACTCGGGGAAATTTCTGTATTCCTTTTCAAGCCCATCTCCATCTGTGGGGGACAGAAAGGGAAGCGGTCTACTGTAGCAGGGAAAAGGCTGGACTCCGAGCAGGCCGTCTGGGTTTGAGTCTGATCACTGCTACCAGCCAAGCTGCCTGGGCTAACGTACTTTAACTCTGCCCTTCAGCTTCTTTGGTTGTGATGAGAGGACAATAGGAGCCTCTGTTTCATGGGCTCACCACAGAGACAAAAGCGTCGATCTCACTGGTTGTCACAATATCAAAGCATCTTAGACAGTACTTGGCACCTGGTAGATCCAGTATACTTCAAAGACTTATTATAGCATAATTATTCTTTGCAATGTAGTTATCTCTCATACTAGTCCCTGTAGTCATGTTTCTGGAGGACAAAACCAAGCCTCCGAGAACCTTGGTAAAATGCAGCTGGGAGAGCGTATGGTATTGACTCTGTGGTTTGAACGATGACTTACTCAAGATGTCATCTGTGCTCTGATGCTTATGTCTGACAAAATGTTAGTAGCTGGAGAAGTGACTAATTACTGTTTGTGAAGTGGTTAAAGACATCCACAAATGAATAGATGATAAACTTTCCAGTGGAAAGAAGCTTTGCCTTGTGACAGGAAATGAGTGTGTTATGGTTTCACTGTCTTTTCCTGGAAGGTCCTGGGAGTGAAAACATGAATTACTTACAAGAATCCTGCAGCATAGGAATCTGACAGATTGTTTGTGCCTCCAGCTGAGGTGGTCACCACGCCTTCAAGCCAAATTTTCTTTCCTGGAGTGTATGTATTGACCACCTGTTCACACAACAAAAGCAGAAGGGGACAGATGAGGTTTTCAAAGCTATTCCCAGATGAGAAGCACTGTCACTCCCTAAAGGAAGTGTCTCTCATTCCCTGATCCCAAGTGGTCATGGAGATGTGTATCTGTTACTTTCCTTTTACAGGAAGACCACGCAGAGAGAAGAGGTGGTCTGCTGTGGTGGCTGAGAGGCTGTCTCTGGAGCAGACCGCCCGGAAGGCAGAGCGAGCTGCCACATACAAACAAAAGCATTAGTGTTCCCACATGTTCATTTTTCTTCTTAAATAAACCAAGTGATGGCGTGATAGAACAAATTTGTGTTCTAGAGTGTAAGACGACTTTAGGGATGTGGCATCCCTCACTGGAAAAGGTGAGCCACATCATGTTTCTCTGTGAACAGGTGCTGAGAAGCAATGATTTTCAGGACCACATTACACTTCTGTAATAAAGCACACCATCTATGTATCAGAAGTCACTATCCATGAGAGGGGAGAAAAATGTTTCGGGGAAGTGTGTAATGAGCATGGCATGTATATTGCACCATATTTTGAAGACAACTGAAGTAAGGATGAAAAGAAAAGTCCCTGACCCACTGGTCAGATCTGCACAGGGAACCACAGCTGCATGCCTTCCAAGCAGAGGCAAAGCCATGTTAAAATGTGTCCCTCTGAAGTTTTGAAATTACCCAGTCTTTGTTCTACAAGTTGGAGGTTGGCCAAACTATTCAGATCAGGGTGCAGATACCCTGGAAAGCAATCAGACAGTTCTGTATTGGGTAATACTAGTAGCTTCTGAAAGTACAGTCTGTGTTACAAGCTTGTCTATAGCTAGTTCATTTTAGGAAATAGTAACTAGCAGGAATGGTGACCTATAGGACTGAAACAAGGAAAAGACAAAAGTAGGATATGTTTTTAAATTTGCAACCAATTCTGGTGACCTGTACTCAACATCATAGGAATTTTGGCAAAAGCTTATATAATCCTCAAAACTGTCCAACTGTCCCTCAAGATAACAAAATGGGGAGTAGTTATCTCGTGATTTCTATCTCCTGATGGTCAAGAGTAGCCCAATGAAGTTATTTCTCCCTTTATTTCAAGTATAGCTCTGAGAGCTGAGCATATTCCCGAAATATTTGTTGCCTCTGTCTAGAGAAATCCCAGAGAAGGAATAAGAAGCAAGTTTCTTCTCAGTTACACTAGCATCAGGCTCTGGCTGCTGCTACAACAGTTAGGACATGAAGAAAGACTGGAGAATACCAGGATGCACAAGGGAGGCTGGTAAGGAATATAGTGCATGTAGATAACCACTAACTCCTCTCCTAGACATGCTCACTAAAGCCATTCTTCTTCAGGTTTCTAAAGAGTATGAGGAATCACCATGTCACCGTCAGTGGCAGGTGTTCATAGTGAGAGGACTGAAATACAAAATGTATTCAGTGCATAATATGAAATACTAGGCAGCAGTTGGAGCAAACAATTCAACATAAATTCAGAAGCACAGATATGCTTTAAAGTTTCAGTGATAAGTTAAAAAAAGAAAGTAACATAGTAAGACATGTGGTATGGTACTATTTATGTAATCATTTGTTATACAATAAGGAACAAAGATATCTGTTTTAAGGATGGGTCAAGCATATAATGAAGACACAAAGGAAGAAAATAGACAGAACAGAAACAGGATTTTTGAGAACTGATGATAGGTTTGCTTTAAGTTGAGGTTGAATATACTATAGTACCTTAGGGCTCCCAAAAAGAATATATGTAGATGTATTTTATGAATATATATACAAATATACAATATGAGATATGTATCTATACATGTGACCAAACTCATAGGAAAGCATCAGCAAGTGTATTTGGAGACCTCTCATCTGCTTCCTGACATCCAGATGTGAAATAATTACACAGAAGCTATATTATTTGTAATACTGTTTGGCCAATAGCTTAAACATATTTCTGTCTTACTCTTATATCTTAAATTAACCCATAATTCTTGTCTATGTTAGCCAAGTGGCTTGGTACCTTTTATCAGCGAGGCAGTCTCATCTTGCTTCCTCTGTGTCTGGATGACAACTGCAGACGGACTCTTTCCTCCTCCCAAAATTCTCCTGTTCTCATCACCACCCCCCTACTCTACTTCCTGCCTGGTCACCCTGCCTAAACTTCCTGCCTGGCTACTGGCCAATCAGACTTTTATTAAACCAATACGAAGTGCTGTGGGACAATGATCTTATACCCTGTCACTTATATTGTATTGTATTCATCTCAGAAACAAAGATCAGGATTGGTAGATTATATAATAGACTTCAATATATAATATAATAGATTTCACCCAGAAGTGGTGAAATCACCTAGGTAGAATATTTTTTAAAAATAGGATAGAAAGATTCAAGGATTTCTTTAAAACACTGAGGCATTTTCAAATACTTTAACACTTCAACAAACATCAAGCACCTGCTAAATGCTAAGCAGACCTCTGGGGCAGGTGTGCTGCCACTGATCTATTGTCATCGTGCAAGGAGACTAACAACAAGTAAACAAGCAAATATCAGGAATTCAGGTGATAAGAAGAGCCAGAAAGAAAACAAGACAATCAAATGCTAGGTAGGAGCTTGTCAGGAATGAGAAGGATGCTTTGGAGAGTGGTTCATGAAGAGCACTCTGCAAGGCTGCATCTGAATTGAGATTTGGTTAAGAGGAAGCCAGGACATTAATGTTTTCAAAGGAACAGCACAGAAAAAGATGTGAGGTGAAAACAGGACCATTACCTGTAGCACCAAAAGAAGGCCATCTGGAGTACAGTACATAAAGAGACGAAAGGCTGGACAAATGAGGTCAGAGAGGAAAGGAGGGTGCTTTCATTCTGAGTGTGATGGAGGCTATTGGGGGGATTTAAGCAGGAGAGGGGTCTGATCTGACTTATGTCAGATCATTGTAGCTGCTATGAGGTCATACATATGTCTTAAAAGGATTGTAAAACCTGTAACATGATATACAAATTAAAGGTTCTGTTATTTCTATGACCACTTTGAGCTTTAATGTCTTTATACATAGATGGAATAATACCTGACAGGATTGTACTAAGGATCCCAGCTGTTTGACAAAGAATAAATAACACGAGGCCAATGACAGGATAATCCTGAGCTAGTGGAATGGGATGTGGACCCAGAGGGTGAACACAGATTTATAAGAGCCCTTTAAGATGATGCATGCATTCAGAGAACTAGTCCGGATATTCCTACAGTTTGGCAGGGGGATTCTGAACCATTCATGATGCTTACAGGAAGCCTTGAACTATGATCTGTTTGAGAGCAGGGAAACCCAATCATCTTTTCTTTTTTTATATTTATTATTTTTCAATTGTGTGTGTGTATATGTGTGTGTGGGGGGGTTATGCGTATGAGGATGCAGATGCCTGTGGATGTCTCTGGCCTTTGATCTTCCTGGAGTTAGTTACAGGCAGTAGGGAGCTCTTTGATGTGGCTGCTGGGAACTGAACTTGAGTCCTCTGGTCCAAGAGAAGTACTTGGTCTTAATTACTTAGCCATCTCTCTACCACACCTTTCAATCTTATTTTCTTAAGTGTAGAGTTTCTTTAAGAGTACCTGGCACAGAACTGGGGCTTCACTGAAAATAGGGCTCTAGTCACACGTAGGGCGTGATATAATACCAGACCTGCCCTTGTATTAGCTCACAGTAAATTCACTCTTGAAGGAAACTGTATGTCTTAAGAAACGGTGATTAAACAAGCCAGTGAATCAAAAGTCATGTGCTGCTTGCAAATACAAATTCAGAGATTAGTAAAAATAAAGACGTGCAAGGAAAACCTGTAAGAACACGTGAGACCGAGGCGAGAACGCTGCTTATTTCCTTTTTGTTCTCAGAGCTGAGGATACAAAGCACATGGTCACCTTTCATGATCACGTGGGTTCAGCCTCAGCTAGTTCTTCCTGCAGCATTATGATTGGTGAGGTAGTATTTAGTGGTTGTTAATGGCCTGGGCTCCGGAGACAGAGTCCTGCCTTTCACCCTGGCCTTACTGTCTATTCACCGTGTGACCTTGAATATTTAAAATTACTTCCTTGTATTCTAGTGTAGAATAGAATGTCCACCTCAGTGTATTTATGCTTTAACTAACTGACATTTGTAAAAAGAACTTAAAAAAAGGTCCTGGTGTATAGTAAGCACTTAAGCCCAAGTATTTTCTGGATTTCTCTCCTTGTTCAAGGTACCTGAATTTGTGTTTGAGAAATTTAATATCAGCATTGATTGCTCTTTCCTCAGATAAGTAACTTGGGTTAATGAATAAATAATATCTCAGATAAATGTTAAGCACTAGGAGAGAGCAGTTTAGGATTTAAAACACACATGAATAATCCACACAAGCATAACTAGCATATATATGTATATGGAGTTTAATTAGAAAATACTCAACCACTTTCAGCATAAGCATCCTATTATCCACACAAATGAAAACTGCACAGTGAGGTAAAACTTGGATACAAACTAAAGCAGCTATCTGACCAGGGAAATATTCCTAAAGGCACTTAGGAATATTGTTGAAAGTTCAAGGAGTCAACAGGAATGAGCAAATGTTTTCTATGCCTTTTCTGTTCAGGACATGGGAAATTTGGTGAATTGAGAGTCTTCCAAGAACAGAGAAGGCCAACATGGTGAAGTGTGGTGGTGGTATGGATGCTGATGCTGGGTGCTGGTTGAGCTTGGGGAGAAAATCAGCTTGGGCTGACCAGGAGAAAAATCAAACAAACAAAAAGGAAAAAAAAAAAACAACAGAAAAAGCAGATGGAACCAGCTGCACAATTCCCTTAGAAAATGAAACTCTAAGAAACCAGGGGCTATAGTTCACCACTGCGGTTTTCTGAGTAAATATGATTCTCCCTGTGCTGGAAGAGAGAAAAGGAGAGGTCTCTGGGAAGTGAAGGGCTCCGGTGAGAAATGATGTGCCAGTAAAGGTTACTCTAAGGGTAGCCCTAGTG